AACGACCATCCATTTCTTCATCAGTGCAAGACGACGACAATGAGAACAGCGAAAGTTAAAGCCACAAATAAACAATGGAAATCGCTTAGTGAAGGCTTCGGTTTGGTGTGTAAGTACCTGGCTGCGCCCTCCTTGCTCCAGATTACACTGGTGGCGATTTTCGCGTCGTTGACGCACTTCGAATATTGCCATCGGCAGGCCGACTCGCTGTCCTTCGGTTGCACGAGGAAGGAGGGCGAGCTGTGCGGAGAGAAACACGGTGTAATCAAAGTCCCGCACCCATACTAAGCAATAACTATTCACACCTCGCAGACTAGTAATACTGACGGCCACCATGGCCAATGAAACACTATCTCACGGCCACCACTGAGCATACTATCTCCATTCACCGCACTAGCAATACTACTCTCCACTCCACCTCCACTAGCAATACTGGTTCTCCATCACCCACTAGAATATATCTCCAACAACCCGTATAACGAACCCGGTGTGGCCTGCGTTCCGCCTCGTCGACTTATTGCCATCTCTTGCTATTTTTTTTTTTTTTTTTTTTTTTTTTTTTGTTTTGTTTTCGTTTTATTTTTTTATTTTTCTTTTTTTTTTTGTTTTTTTCCGCTCCCCCTCTTTCGACTCTGAGCCCGCACTCGTGCCGCTCTGCTCGTGTTTCTGGCCTCTGTGCCTACTCACTTTTAGCGCCGCTGCAGAAGCGTTCCACCCACTATGGCAATACTATCTCCATCCACCCACTAACAGATACTATCTCCATCACCCACTGGCCAATACTTTGTCTCATTCACCCCTCACTAGCCAATTACTATCTCATCCACCCTAACTAGCAATATATATCCATCCACCCACTAAGCAAATACTAATCTCATCCACCCACTAGCAGTTACTACTCCATCCACATCCCACTAGCAATACTATTCTCATCCAACCCACATAACATGACTATCTCGATCCACCCCACTAGCCAATACTACTCTTCATCCACCCCACTGCAAGTACTATTTCTCCATCACCCCACTAGCGAATCACTATCATCCATTCCCCCGCACTAGCAATATTATCCTCCATCCACCCCACTAGCATACTATCTCATTCCACCCCACTAGCAATACTATCATCCTCCCCCACTACAATACGTATCATCCTCCACCCCACTCAGCAATACTATCCTCATCCCCCACTAGCAAATATATCTTCCATCACCCCATAGCATACTATCTCCAGTCCACCACCACTAGCCAAATAGTATCTCCATCCACCCCACTAGCATACTGATCTCATCCTACCACTATAACATACTTATCTCCCATCCACCACTAGCCAATCAGTTTCTCATCCACCCACTAACAATACTATCTCCATTCCACCCCATAACATCATATCTTCTCCGACCCACTAGCAATACTTATCTCATCACCCCAACTAGGAATTACTATCATCCATCCACCCCCACTATGCCAATACTTTATCTCCATCCACCCACTACAATAGTATCTCATCCACCCTACTAGGCATCTTCTCCATCACCCACTAACATATCTATCTCGTCAAGCCCGCACTTAGCGAATACTATCTCATCCACCCAGACTAACAATGCTATCTCCATCCACCCCACTCAGCAAGTACTTATATCCATCCCACCCGCACCTAGCAATACTATCTCGCATCACCCACTAGCCAATACGCTATATCCATCCACCACTAACAATGCATATCTCCATCCACCGGCCACCCCACTAGCAATACTATCTCCATCCACCCCACTAGCAATACTATCTCCATCCACCCCACTAGCAATACTATCTCCATCCACCCCACTAGCAATAGTATCGCCATCACCAAAAACCGCCGTGGGCACAAGTCTGCCGAGGTCGGCTCAAAAATTGCGATTCGTCGACCGCGAATCGAGCAAGATGTCGAGCGGCGGTGGAACTTACACTGCACGGTGAGTCTAGCCGAGGCCTCCACGGAGCCGACAGGGTTCTTCGCTTCACATATGTAGACGCCCTGATCGGCCGTCGTCACCCTCTCGATCCTCAATCCCTTATCGTCCATGATCTTCGCCCTGGACAGACGACGAAAGAAAAGAAAAAATGCTGTAAGTTTATGTTTATCCCCGTCTGCGAGGGTTAACCGCGTTAACTCCTTCGGCGCGCGCGGCGGCAGATTAAAGTTTCGCGGCGGTTCGGCTGTCCGGAACTTAATTACTTATTTATCGGCGATCGATATTGCGAGACGAAGCGCATCGCCTCGTCGTTTGTCGTAATTTACGGTCGTTCTCTCCTCGAAAAACCGTCTTCTCGTCTTCCTATTTTTCCGCCGGCAGAATCTACTTCCTGCCGCTATCGCGCTGCATAATGGAGCGGCGATAAACTTGCGAAAAAAAACGCTCTCGCAATTTCGTGCTCGGCCGCGGGAAAAAAATTCAAAATGCGAACTGAAATTACGAGCGGACGAGCATATTATAGTCCGTTTCCTACGGGCGGCTGTAAATAATGACGGCGAAGATAAACGCCGCGCCATCATTTCGCACATTTCTCATCCGATGATGCAATTCGCGGCAATTTCCATAATAACGATTGATTCCGTCGTTTGCGTGGCGACCATTTCGCGCAGAGAGCGGCCGACAACGCGAGATAAGCTTCACACACACAAGCAGCAATGACGACGACGACGGGGGGGGGGAAATGATATCAATTTGATCTTGTTAATATCGGATTTCTGCTCCACTGCAAGCAAAGATTTCCGCCCTTCCCGTGTCCTGCATCGTTGCTGAGAAACCCCTGCGTTCATCATGCAGCCCCTCAACCCCTGATCCTCCCCCTCCTCACCTCATTACCCCACCCACCTCCTTCTCCTCACCCCTCCCCCTCACTAATAACAAACACTAATAACATATGCGCGCTATTCCCAAACCTTTCGTCAAATCACCAGGCCCCGCTCGCACGCGAGAAACGGGTGGCTCTTTGTACAATCACTGCCGCCATGAAACCTGCGCACGCACGTCCCCACCCCCGCGGCCACGCTCCACGTCCCCTCGTCCTCTTCCCCCGCCCCCCGCACTTCTCACCCTGAGAGAGAGAGAGAGAGAGAGAGCACGGATCATTAATGCAGCAACAGAGAGAGCGAGGCAGGGAGTTTATTGACGGATGGATTTACGACGGCTTTACAACGCGCGCGCGCTTCTTATTAAACTCGCTACACAACGACCGTATCAATCGACGACCGTAAAGATGGCCACATCGAGACGAATCCCTTAATCAAGTCACGTCCATGCTCTCTCTCACGCACGCGCGCGAGGACATTCACTCGTTAATCGCGACGCGCCCGCTCTCACGCGCGACGCGGCGAGCGTTTTAATTAGACCTCGGCCGCGGTCGTCAAACCGCGAAGCCAGCTCCTCGCGACAAAACCGCATTATCGCGCAAAACCGCAGCTCGATGCAAAGAAAACCAGGACTGTTACGGAGTGAGAAAAAAAGTTAACGCGGAGAGACGAGCGGACCGATTTTGTCTCTGTGTAGGAAAAACCAACCGCGGTAATTTGCGCAAATTATTCCTTCCACGGACGCCCAGCGGCGATAGATTTCGCAAGAGTTTTTAGCTTTCTGACACGTGTAGCAAACTGCGGCGATCGGCGCGAGGATAACACCCGCGTTTAAGCGGATTAAGAGCGATTTTTTTAAATTATCCGAGGTGGCACCTCTCGCCGCTGCCGCTCTCCGCTTCTACCGAAGACATCACCGCAGACAGGGTGGCCACGCGGCTCAGACAGAGGGCGCCACTCACCGGATATCTGCAGCGTGCCGGAGTTGAGCAGGGTGATGCGTGGGTCGTTCTTCAGCAGTGGCACAGTGTTGCGGTACCAGCGGATAGAGGGCGCCGGTGTGCCCGATGCCTGGCACGGCAACATGGCGACGCTGTTCAACGCTAGCGTCTGGTTGTCCGGACCCTGCCTGATGATCGGCGGAGGGTTGTCCGAGATTGCTGCAGAGAGAGGGAGGGATCCCTGGTTAGATCGACTTAACTATCTTTAAACGGTCAAGTTAATTATAATTTTTTAAACACTTTATCATTAACATTTGTTATTATTGGATAATTATTTAAACACGCATTAAAATTAATCGTTAGTTAAATTAGTAAAACCATTTTAAAATCACGCACGAACAATAAGTGGTCTAAGTTGATAAAAAAAATCCAAATGTGATTTTGCATAGAGTCTTACAGGAAATGAGTTCACAATGTTTACTCAAAAATTAGTCAGGCTTGCAGTGCGACGACAAAACGTCATCGAATGTGACATCGTACTAACACCGGTCATGCAGTAATTCACCGTGCGCTGAACCGTGCGCGGAAATATGTCAATTGCATTTACGCTCACGGCCCGCTCGCATGCGTAACTTGTCATTCGCTTTCTCTCACATGCCTCACGCATCTCCTCATTAGCTGCCTGCAGTCAGTGCAGCCTCGCCACGGCTGTATTAACGAAGCGCGTACCGGAGGCCTTCATGAACCTCGTGAACCCTCGTGAACCACTGAGCGAAACGACTATGGGCATGCCAGGTCACCGAGCCTGGGTTTGCATCATGACTGACTCAGTGACGTACTTAGTACAATGACTTGGTTTGTAACATGACTGAGTTAGTATCATGGCTGGGTTTGTGACATGACTGATATAGTACCATGGCTGGGTTTGTGACAGGACTGAGTTAGTACCATGGATGGGGTTGTGATAGGATGGACTTAGTGCCATGGCGAGGTTTGTGACATAACTGACTTAGTGCCAAGGATGGATTTGTGACATGACTGACTTAGTATTCATGGCTGGGTTCGTGACAGGATGGACTAAGTACCATGGCTGCATGTGTGACATGACTGCCTTTTTTACGATGGCTGGGTTTGGGACATGACTAACCTAATGCCATGCCTGGGTACCTACATTGATCTAGGGGGCTACTGCCCCCACCTGCTACCTATGACCCTACCCCCCCCCCCTTTGCTGTAGGTGTAGTGCAACCTCCTGACGCCCCATGACACGAGCTTACCCCCTGTCTGTGTTTACCACGCTATGGCTACGTCCAAGATTACGCGTGCACGCGTGTGCAGGGTGAGAGGTTTTTGTTATAGGTGAATATCTATCATGCTACGTCCGCGATTACGCGTGCACGCGTGTCGTACTCACCAGTCACTTCGAGGTAGGCCTTGGCGATCGAGCTGCCGGCGACGCTGAGAGCCGAGCAGACGTAGTAGCCCTCGTCCTCCTCCATCACCGTGGCGATGCCCAGCTCGCCCTCGGCCGTCACCGTGAAGCGGCCGTGCTTCTGCCCGGGAAACATCAGCACCTGCGGAGCGGGAGACGAACGAAGCAACGTGAGCTTCCGCGTTTCGAATGTCCTTCTAATGTCCTTCTAGAGTCCACGCTCGAACAACGTGACGCGTCAACGAAGACCTCGTCGAAGGTCTCGCGACTCGCGCATCGTACTGACGAGGCTACACATCTGGATGAGACTCGTGTCTCGGTGACGAAGCCTTGCAACTTCACTGGACTCGTGTCTCAGTTACGAGGTCTCGCAACTACAGGGGACTCGTGTCTCGGTGACGAAGCCGTGCAACTACACTGGACTCGTGTCTCAGTGACGAGGTCTCGCAACTACAGGGGACTCGTGTCTCGGTGACGAGGCATTGCAACTAGACTGAACTCTTGTGTCAGTGATGAGGCCTCGCAACTTACTGCAACTCAACTCACTCAGCAGTGAGCTTGCATGCAGCGTATGCTGAGTATCTATATATAACAACTCAGCAAAGCCTGCTCACATGAGTCATTGATACTCCGCAAAACATACACGACGGATTCGCGTCCGACAAGGTGTGGCGTTGTGCACGAACGAAGACGCATTCAGACGCAGTCAGTTGTGCTACACTCGACAAATCTCGATCGCAAAGAGCGCCAGATATTGGATGTATGCATTAGGGCGTATTCCCTAAAGACGTCGTTCTCGTACGATTGCGCGACACTTCTCACGAGAAATTCGAGCACGTCCGAGAAGTGCATTAAGTATACTTTCTTAAGCGCACCCGAGAGTACGACATTTCGTAGCATTGTGCGAGCTGATTGATCGGCTGACTAATGCGCCAAACTAATGTAATCATGTCACGAATGTTTGCATGGCAGAGTGCGTTAAACTATCCAAGAAAGAAGTAGCGAGAGAAAAGCTCGGAGGCTGGCAACACGATAAAAATAAGATCGGTAAAGTCGTCGCTGTTCGGCAACAGCAAAATTTAAAATCCTGATCAATACACCAATTAGTCGTGCTGCGTCGCTAATGATTATGCAAAATTAAATGCTATGCAAATATGACCGGTTTTTTAATTTGTATGTGGAAATGGAATGAGTTTTCTGCTGCCTAGCTTCTGTTAAATGATCGCCAACAAGCAAATTCATAGCAGATATGCTAGCACAGACATCAGGAAGGGGGTAATGATCACACACGCATATTACCGCTAATAACACCATCCAATTTCTTCCATCAGTGCAAGACGACGACCAATGAGAACAGCGAAAGTTAAAACCACAAAATATAACGATGGAAATCGTAGTGAAGGACTTCGGTTGGTGTGTAAGTACCTGGCTGCCCTCCTTGCTCCAGAATACAGCTGGTGGCGGATTTCCGGTCGTGACGCACTCGAATATTGCCATGCGGCCGAGGCCGACTCGCTGGTCCTTCGGTTGCACGAGGAAGGAGGGCCGAGCTGTGCGGAGAGAAAACACGTGTAAGAAAGTCCCGCACCACCTTACTAGCAATACTATTCCACACCACCGGACTAGTAATACTGCACGGAACCAATGCAATAGCAATACTATCTCCATCCACCCCAATAGCAATACTATCTCCATCCACCCCACTAGCAATACTATCTCCATCCACCCCACTAGCAATACTATCTCCATCCACCCCACTAGCAATACTATCTCCATCCACCCCACTAGCAATACTATAGTGCGCTGGCTGGGAAGGACTGGGGGAGCGCAGGGCCAGACAGGCGTGGAGAGCTGTGAGCGAGTCATGGTGGTGACGGACCTGCTGAGGGACATGAGGGGAGCGACAAGGGGAAGAACAGGCGAGGCTCTTGAGAGATGGGTAGATGGTGGACGATGTAGACAGAGGAGAGACTGGAGGGGGCGCAGGAGAGACAGGCGTGAGAGGCTGAGTAGAAGAAGAGGATGGGGGCGATGGTGGCTGTGAGGGACTGGGGGCGACAGGGGGACAGGCGTGCGCTGGTGAGAGACGGGGGGAGAGAGAGAAGAGACTGCAGAGCGGGAGAGGCATACGGGCGAGCGTGGCGAGAGAGAGACGTTGAGAGAGGAGAAGCGACGAGAGAGAGACGTAAGGAGGAATGGCGGGAGAAGGAGATCCATAGTAAAGGCGCAGCAGGTAATGAGCACTCGTAGCACTACCGGATGATATATGGTCGTGGCATGCGGCGTCGACGATAACAAAAACCGCAGCGGTGCGATGAACAGAGACGCAACTTGTGAGCGGCGAGTGGCTGAATGACAAACGCATAGTATGAACGCAGCGCTGGACTCGGGCGACGCGAAACGGTCTAGAGAGCGAAATGAGAAGCTCTTCGCACGCACGGTGCAGTAACGGCTCGTGGACAGGCTAGTGACAGGCCCCCCCCCTGGCGCTCTCAGTCTCGCGTGCGCCTATGTTCCCGCTAAAAATAAATTAGGGTTGGGCAATCGAGGCGGAGGTTGTTGAGTGTGATGAGCGAGCAAATGGTATTTTCGATAGCGTTGCTCGTCTAATATCTAGGGTTCTCAACGAAATGCTTACCGGCTTCGGGAAGAGGACGAGGGGACGTGGGGATGCCTTGGTAGCCAGAGGCGTGAGGTAGCGCGCTCGCGGCACATATTCCAAGGCTTCCCCTGCACCCGCTGACCTCTTCATCGTTAATAACTGCAGGCTGCGTGCCGACTGTTTCATGGGCGCCCAGTGATGCTCTAACAGAAAGAAGACCAATCTCACTTCTTCTCTCACTTGCTCCGGCCATCACGTGTCAGACGTTGCGCATCTCTGCCAGGGACTGCAATTTCGACAACAACGTATGTATCACGCCATCCGCAGCGTCAATTCTGCATGTCACCGATTCACCAGCTTGAGTCTCTAGTTGACTACTGGGAAGCCACCTATCCGCGCGAATACACCTGCGATCGCGTGAGTGCGCGCGCGTAAGCCCGTGCAGCGCTAAGACCAGTGCAGTCAACGATCATGGTACCGTCAAGCACACCGTCACGTCACCAAGTCGAGCTGCGAGCCGTAGCGACGAAGGGATCATCATCTATTTCGCTGCACCGGCACCGTCACCGCTTGCGGCACTCACTTGAGCAGCAGGTTTCGTTGCCGGCTATAGCATCTTGACCGCGTCCGGCGGCGCGCGTATCTCGCGCCATCTTTCTTTCCACCACCACTCGGGGCTCGGCGTATCCGCGCGGCCTTCGCCACTCCATCACTCGCCGTCTCTCCCGCCGCGACCTTCACGTCGCGCGGGCTCTCCCGGAAGTCGTCACGCGAGCACTGCCAACACCAGGCGAGGCCACAGCGCGGTGAGTCTGACCAATGTTAAGCTACATCGGGTAATAGTATTACTACTAATACCGTTATACCTACTACCTCCTCCACACACGACCCTTACAATGAGTTAGCATCATCGGGTAATAAAATATCACTATACTACGTTATACCTACGATGGGCCTTGAATATAATCGAGTAATACCACACACACACACAGTGTACATACGCTTCGAGTGCTAGGTATACTACTACGTAATCACTCATTACTCGCTTCTACGTACCTTTTCTCCCCATTATGAGTAATATATTACGTTCCACTGCGAGTAGTTACTATTGAATAACATCTACGCACCTAGTTCCGATTACCTAAACTACCTCTGAGCCATTCCGGAGTAACGTATATACCGTCGCGGCTGACTAGTTATGAAACTACTTGTAGAGATGGATCACCTCCGTACATATTGCGGCTTAAACTTAAATAAATGAACAATACCCGTAATACTGAATAACTACTCACAGACCCAGTTATTAAATGGTGTAGGTATAAGTTACTGTAAACATCACCACATCTGCTCATGTGTAGTCCTACCCTTTCCGGCCGTAGGTATTATACACGAGTCACGTTAATTAATACATATACGCTGTTAACTACATGCGCAATTTCGTAATGACAAGCACTGGCCGGTGACACCAGCTGGCCTAGCTGTCAGTCTCTCGCAGAGATGTCGAAATTGACCCGAACTAACAAGAGATGCGCCGTTTGGCGTCGAGCGAATAAAGGACCCACGATTATAGGGTACGCTATACCTTGCCCATGGGCGTTCTCCCCCCCGCTCGTGGCATGAGTCAGCTAAATGATTCTCGTTGCTAGCTTCACACCAAATGTATCACACGGACCATGCCCACATACAGCTCGGTTGTCTTTTGGTAACAGCTCGAAGCAGACACGTGCAAACTGGTAATGGAAAAAAACTCTCCGCAGACAATTCTATCATTTAACGCTGTTGTCTATTGCGCATCAAACGGATCGTAAATATTGCGTGTTGTGTTTACGACGCCGCGAGAGGGAGACCCCCCCCCCCGCCCCCACCCACGCCCACGCGGCAAGCATAATAAACGTGATGTATATATAGCGCGCTGTGTGCCATCACTGAGGGGCACTAACCGACTATGCTTCGATGACGAGCTTGCAACACACATGCAAATGAAATGCGCGACGATGTTCGCCATAAACTCGGCAATAGCTGGAAACGTATGATTCGTTATTGCCGCATGCAGCTGTCTCCCTCCTTGTGCGTGCGCCGCGGCGTGTCGGTAATAGCGCTGCAGGAGGGGAGGATCAGGGGTGAGGCCGCCGCTGCCATCGATGAACGCAGGCGGTTTCTCCAGCCACGATACAGCGACACGGGCGAAGGGCGGAAGCGAATCAGTCTATGCTTGGCAGTGGTGGACGCAGAAAATGTCTCTCGTGGATTTTATACAACTTAAGAACAACTCTGTTTGATACTGATCATGCCTGCCTGCCTTGCCCCTCCCCCTGTTCGTGCCGGCGGCGTCGATTCTTGCCAGTGTTACACAAACATGAGCTGTCTTGCCGGTACTGATATACCCGCTCTCGTTCATTTTTCTCTTTTCGCTCCCCCTTCTCTCTTTCTCTCCTATATATGTGTGTGTGAAGTCTTATATCTCGCGTTGTATAGCGGCCGCTATCTCTGCGCGAAATGGTTCGCCCACGCAAACGTATTACGAATCAATCGTTATATATATTATATTATCGGTATTATTATGTGCGTGCGGAAGATGTGCTATCTGGCGACTGTGTGGCTACTCAGTGTGCGGGTATTGCGAGACAATGTTGGGCGAGTGCGTAATGATGCGCGCTCGGCGCCGTCTTATCTCGCCGTCATTATTTACAGCCCCGCGTAGGAAACGG